CCGTCAGCTGTGTGCCGTGTCGATCTGCCTGTTCTGCTCCCCACTCTGTCTCTGGCGAAGCTTCTCACCGCCCCGACACCTCTTCTCTGTACCCCAGGTCCGTATGAATAAATCAATCTTAAAAAATAAATAAATAACAAAGAACATCAAACATTCCAAAAACAGACCTAATCCTGGACTAAATGTCAGTGTTAAAAAAGTGAAACAGGCCCTCCCCGGTGGCGCAGCGGGTTAAAGCACAGCACTGAGAAGCTAAAGCCACTTCCGCATGAGTTCGATCCCCGCCTGCCCCGGAGGTGACCACAGAGTGCGGCAGACCTCTCCTGACCGCCCGCTGGTCCCCTCAGCAGTGGATTTCGTCGATCTGCCTGTTCTGTTCCCCACTCTGTCTCTGGTGAAGCCTCTCACCGCCCCTGAGCCTCTGGCCTGTACTCCAGTTCTGTATGCTCAAATAAATAAATCTTTTAAAAAAAAAAAAAGTAAAATATCAATAAATGCCATAACCCCCCCCAATAACTCTAGTAGTTCTAAAGTGTATAAAATGAAAGGTAGTTTCACACTTCATACTGGTGCAAGTCGATCTCAGAGCTATGATTATTAGAAAGCTTGTATTACCCCACACCCCCACCCCCCACTATCGGTCACTTTTATCAACCTACACCAGCTGTCCTATCCATCTCAATCTCTGCCGCACAGCAAACGGGCCCCGGATGGATGGATGATGGGTAAGTGGATAATGTGATGAGTACGTGGGTGGTGGCTGGATGAAGTCAGCCGGAGGACGAACACCTTGTTGGCGCTCTGGCTAAAGCTTTATGAGACATAAACGTTGCCCTGCTTTAGAAGATAAGTTCCACATGTGGTTAGCATGTCCTAGAGAAATTTTAAGCCATAAAAAAACTGCAAAGGGGGCCCTCCCTGGTGGCGCAGCGGGTTAAAGCACAGCACTAAGAAACTTAAGCCAATTCTGCATGAGTTCGATCCCCGCCTGCCCCAGGGGTGACCACAGGGCGCGGCAGACCTCTCCTGACCCGCCCACTGCTCCCCTCAGCAGTGTACTTCGCCGACCTGCCTGTTCTGCTCCCCTCTTTGTTCCTGGTGAATCCTCTCACCCTCCAGATCTCTAGCCTGTACCCCAGTTCTGTATGAATAAATATATAAATCTTAAAAAAAAAAAACTGCAAAGGGGGGGCCCTCCCTGGCACAGCGGGTTAGGACGCAGCACTGCAAGGTGGCCGTGGCCGCCTCGGTGCGAGTTCTATCCACAGTCCCAGAGGTGACCCACACGGCACGACAGACCTCTCCTGTCTCCCCACTGCTCCCCTCAGCAGTGTGCTTCGTCTATCTGCCTGTTCTGCTCCCCACCCTGTCTCTGGTGAAGCCTCTCACAACCCCTGCATCTCTGGTATGTACCCCAGTTCTGTATGCATAAGTAAATACTTTTTAAAATTTGCAAAGGGGGAGAATTTCTTTGAAGCTGACAGCTGATATGAACACCTGGAAGGTATAACCATGCCGGGACTCCTGATGGGGGGGGGGGGGCAGCACCTTCCCAACTGTCTCAAACCCTAGTGCCCCACCTAAATGCAGGATCTAGACACTACCAAAGAGAGGGTGAGCACAGTCCCGGGATGACAGCGAGGACGTCCACTCCTAGCGCTCCTGGGAGCACAGGCCCAAGAAAGGACCAGGAGGAATCTCTCCATCTGCAGCTACGCGGGTGAGGGGGGCCCGGACCTCACCCATGCAGGCCCCCGGTGGAGAGAGCTTCAAGTACTGTGTGCCAGGCCCTCGGGTGCAGACGGGAGAAGACAGACGAAGCCCTCAACCCCCAGAGCCGCACAACAGAGGCAGACAGCACCCGAGAGACGCCACTGTAGAGGCTGGAGAGCCCGCTGAGAGCCAGCAGCCAGGCCAGCAGCGGGGTTAAAAGGCTGGAGGCGAAAGTGGGGTCTCAAGGGCCCCACCACTGCCTTAGCTCACCGCGGAGACAAGCCGCGGCCAGCTCCCTCCAGGGCCGGGCGTGCCAGGCCCCCTGGGAAATGCTCTGGCTGCAGACTCGCCCAGGCTGCCGTCTCCTCTCATCACTAGTGACTCCCTGGTTTGACTTCCCCTGCAGCCAGTCCGGCTAGAGCAGGCCAGTCTGAATCCTGGCTCTGTCTGCACCCGGCCGGGCAGGCAGCCATGGGCGGGCTGCTGCTTCCTCTCACACCACAGCCCGTGTCTGGAAGAACTGGAACGTCATGAGCCTCTGTGAGAACCCCAACTGTGGTCTGGGCCCAAGGGTCGCAGGACGGGGGCGCCTTCCCAGCCCCGCTGCTCCCACCCCTGGCAGCAACCAACCACCAGGTGCCTTCAGGCGGAAGGGCACGCACCTTCAAGGGGCCAGCCAGCGGCTGGGGGCTGGGGTCAGGCCACAGAGGGGCCCGCTGGACCCTGGAGGCGCTCTCGTGAATGCCAACCCCAGATGGAGCAGAGAAGTCCAGGGAGGAGCAGCTGGAGGTAAATGCCTAGGGCCATGGCAGGGTGGCCGCCAGCCACCCTGGGGGCTGGAAGGGAAGGGGGCAGTCTTAGCACCCGCCCCTGCTCCACAGGGAGGAAGGCCCCTCTGCTCCATCTTGGGGGAGCAGATGTCCCAGGTTCCGCGTGTGGCCCCGCCTGCCTCCCAGCCTGGCGCGCAGCACAACCAGCCTGCCGGCAAGCACCAAGCACCACGGCCTCCACCATCGGGTCTTCCTGTAGCCATGCGCGCTGGCCGTCCTCCCACCTGTGGTTCCCCTTCTAGAAACACCCCCCCACTTCAGGTGATCGCTTAAAAGTCACTTCCCCCAGGGCTTTCCAACAGCCTGAGCTCCCATGGACACACTTCCCATTTCTGCCCCCCTCCCCCACACTTGCAAAGTCCCGTCTAACAGCTGGCTTCCCCTGTGACGCAGGTCCTAGCAGAAGTGCCTGTCCTTCTGTCGTGTCTGCCTCGCCCGGAGGCCCGGCCCTGAGCAGGCAGACCCTGCACAGGCTGAGGGGCAGGACACACCAGGGCAGAGCGCAGGCTGGAGTCCGGGGACGCGGGAGGCCGACTCCCCCTCCTGCGAGTCTAGGGGTGCCCTGGTTCTCCTGTCCGGCCCTCTGACCTCCCACATGCAAACAGAGAGGGACGGACATCTGCTCTTCTGCTGGACGCTGAGCCGGGATCTGAGTGGGGCCTGGATGAATGAGCTGAACAGCACTTAGGGGTGGTTCTCAGGGGCCTGCTCTGGGGGCGTGACAGAGCAGAACAATGAACATGTCCGCCCATATCTTAGCCTTCTACAGCGGGCCAAGTCACCTGCTTGCTCACTCCTCACCTGAGGCCGTTCATCACCCTGGAAGCTTGGGCAGTCGCCCAGGGAGGAGCAGCTGGAGGTAAATGCCTAGGGCCATGGCAGGGTGGCAGTCAGCCACCCTGGGGGCCGGAAGGGAAGGGGGCAGTCTTAGCCCCTGCCCCACAGGGAGGAAGGCCCCTCCCCCATCTTGGGGGAGCAGATCTGAGCACACAGGAACCTAGGAAGAACCAAAGATGTGCGTTTTCCAAGCTGTTGTCAGCAAACACAATGGCTGCCGGCCGCGGGTCCAGCTGTGGGGTCAGAGGCTCGAAACTGGCAAGGCCGCACGCCCTACATGCCCACAGATGTTTTCTTTGGCAAGTGAGGTGTTATAGTTTTAAAAATTACTTTTCAAGGGGACTGCAACTGAGATGGAAAAATGCACAAAAATACGTAAAAATAAATTATAAAAAAATCAGTTTCAACGTTTATAAAATCAGACGGTTTTATAGAAAAACCCCAATTCCAGAGTCTCTGGAATAGAAAGTGGTATTGGGATAAAGATGGGAGATGACATCTCTGGATGAAAGGTCCTTCGGGTCCGGGGCAGGATGGCAGGAAAGATCCCGAAGGCGCCGGGAGTGAGTGGCTGCAGGCAGCACTGAAAGCCCAGGCAGCAGCTGATCTCAAAACTTCGCAGCCAAGGTCAGCTAAGCGCCCACCTGCAGCCTGAGGTGGCAGCTGCCCCCACCCCATGGCCACAGTCCCCACCACCCTTACAGCCGCACAGCGAAGTCTCCCTCGCGAACACTACTTACTAACACTTAGCTCATAGCCGCTTGGAAATACTCAGGCGTAGACCTCATGAGCACCCCCCAATCCTCAGGCCTCCTTCCCCCTCTTCTCATTCACCCCCCTTCAGAGGCAGAAAATCCAGCTGACATGGGGGGTTACAGGATACGTCTCGCAAAGGGCACACGTCTACCGGGGAACGGTCAGATTCCCATGTGGGGTGCTGAGGGCTCTGAGCCTGGTAAAGACACTTGACTAACTGACAGTCCACCTGAGTGAGGCACGTATCTGCTGGTCACTTCACTCCACCCGTACACAATGCCAATATGTCAAACTCTGGGAGAAGCGGTCTCGTCACTAATTCATGAGGGAAAATATATGGCACGCAATGAGGAATTCTAAATGACACGCGTCGCTATTTCTCTTTAAATGTGTGTCCGCATCAACAACTCCACTTAAAAATGGATTGCCGGCCCTCCCTGGTGGCGCAGCGGGTTAAAGCACAGCACTGAGAATCTAAAGCCGCTTCCACATGAGTTCGATTCCCACCTGCCCCCGAGGTGACCACATGGCGTGGCAGACCTCTCCTGACCCGCCCGCTGCTCCCCTCAGCAGTGTACTTCGTTGATCTGCCTGTTCTGTTCCCCACTCTGTCTCTGGTGAAGCCTCTCACCCTCCGCATCTCTGGCCTGTACCCCAGTTCTGTATGCACAAATAAATAAATCTTTAAAAAAAAAAATGGATTGCCACACTATAAAATTAGCACTGTTTATCAATACAAGATCTCTAAAGGAAGTCAAGTCTTTCCTCCAGCTCTCTGATGGATCTGATCTTCTTAAGCAATTTCAAAATCTGTTGGAAAAGTCAGTAATTATCAAGAAAGCAAGCGATCGCAGAGTGGAATACCTGCTTCTTATCTTGCGTTTTCTTAAAATCTTCACACGCTAGCCAAAATAAAACATTTTCTTCACTGAATTCCTTTTTTAAAAATTCCTAGGTATAAAGAAAAGGGAAAAGGTCAGTTCTCACCCTTAGAAACATAAAACAAATGCATTTCCCTTCAAGGACAGTTTTGGCAAAATTTACCAACGAACACATTGCCATCCAACACAGAGACCCTGGACGGGACGGGCCTCCGCCGGAAAGGCAGGCTGTCCCAGGCATCTGAGCTCAATGGCTTTGACAGTGTAAGAAAAAGTAAAAACGAAGCAAGAATCTACTCACAATTCTAAGCGGACAATAAATTACCAAAAAGTAAATTAAAGCGGATGATTTATTAGTTCCTTCCAGACACTGTTTAAACAAAGTACATTCCTCTAAAATCAGGCCCATTTTGTTAAACAAAAGAAAAGAAAACACATGAAGCCTGTCTAAAAATGCTGTGATGAAAACGACTTTAAGTTGGAGGTGTGTTTTCTTTTTGCGGATGTTGGGGGGCCGTGGGGACAGCCAATGTTCTGCAGGGTGCAGACGACTGTCCTCCCGGAGATGGAGACAGCATCACCGTGGCCTGGAGGCCATGGGTGTCAGCTGCCTGCCACCCTCCTGGGTGGAAAGAGTGAGCAGCAGCCCCCAACACCCCCGACTGACACGGGCATCTGCTGGTCCCAAAGCTCCTACTTCTGGGCAGCCCCGACACTTCCGCAGCCATCAGTCCTCCACTCGGAGTTCAAGTTCACTTAGCAAACTGTGGTCCTGCCTCCCGCCCTGCTCACCGATGCTGGGATCCTGGACCCAAAGAACAAGACTTCGTGGCTGACAGACCCAGGCCGGGCCTGCACGGAGGCCTGAAGAGCCTCTGCCCACAGCCCTCACCAACTCTGTTCCGACTCTCTAAAGCCCAGGCCGTCTGTGCCCCTCGAAGCCAGACCTGCACCCCGAATCACACTTGGGCCATGATTAAGGCAGGCCTGCTCCCCACACCCAAGCGCCCCCCCCCCACACACACACACGTTTGCTTCTAAATGTCTTTGCAAGTTGCATCAATCCCAAACAACAATGAAAAAGCCAAACCCTGAATCTTTTCACGCCTTCCGGGTCTTCGAGCAGGTTCTCCAGCGAGGCCGCCCACTTGCCTGCGCCCTTGGGGTTCTGGTGGCCGCTGCTGGAGCTCCCATCGCTGTCGTGTATATCTGCAGAGCCAGGTGGACACCGTCACTTCAAAACACCCACCTGTGAGGGCCACAGCCCTGCCCCGCCCCAGCGCCATCACCGTGGGGGTGAGACTTGAAGTCGCGTCTCCGCACCTGCCACAGTGACTCGCCCTGGTCCTGCCAACCTGACGAGACAGGCACCACCTCCTCCGCGTCACAGCTGAAGAAAACTGAAGCCCGGTTTCCTTATTATCTCCCGACACCCCCACAGCCTTCCCTGGCCACGTGTGCCCTGGCCAGAGCTCAAGTCTCACTCAGCCCGCCTGCCGGGGCCCTGAGTTAGCTACACCCCTGGTCTCACGCAGGGGCCTGGCTCAGCCCGTCTCTGCTTGGAGAAGCTATGACCGGCTCTCACTGGCCTGAGAGCTCCCGACGCCTTCTCTTGTCTCTCTAGCAAGCAGCACACTGCCTGACACATCAGGACAAGTGGGTGCCCGGAGGAGGGTGAGGAACCTGCCCCGGGCACAAAGCGGCAGGCACATGCCCCCAACTCAGACATCAAGAGATGCCATGTTCATGCAATATTCTGGAAAATCAAAACCATTGCCAATGTATTCTGTAATGAGGAAACGTTTCACTTTAACTAAAGACAGGGTGGTTACCAGCTTCACCCTTCTGCCCAGCTTCCAACATGGCAGCACCGTGTCGTGTGTAGATTAAGTCTCTGGACATCTGTTGCACTCTCTTACTCAAGACACTAAGGCTGTCGGCCAAAAGAGCCTCTCCAGGAGAGGAAGGGGGACGGGGACGCCACACACAGCACACTCTGGCTACTGGCTGGAAGAGGAAGTGACACAGCATGCCTCGTTCTGAGAATTCTCCCCCTTCCCGGGGTCTCGGGACAGCCAGGGATGCCACTTTGGAAGGGTCCAGAGACGAAACCCAGTGTGGCCAACTGAGCGACCCTGGGCAAGATTCTTGGGCATAAGATAAAGATAATCCCCCTGTCTCAGGGCTCTGGGAAACATAAAAAGAGGAAGCTCAGTGGATTCTCAACAAATCATAGTTCCTCTCTTCCCTTCCTTAAAATAATAATCTATTGAGGGAACTATTTTTATAGCCAATGCCTTTTGTCTTTTTTTTTTTTTTTTCTCAAAGTAGAGATGTATGTCATGAAGAAAAGTTTTCTGCTAGGAGAGACATAAACTTAATTTAAAAAATCAGCAGAGCAAGTTACCTTAGAAGAATAAATAAAAGTGCCTTACAGATATTAACTGCTACAAGTAGCTCAGGAGACCCACAGTGCAAAGCTGTTTAGGGTGGAAAGTGGTGCCAGAAAGCAGGAGTTTGAGAGTAACTCAGCTGCTCTCCTGTGCCCCGGGGGATCACAGCCATTTCTGAAGCAGCTGAGGCTCCATCTCCAGCATCTGGGAAAACTACCTGGACATCAGACATTTATGGGCTGCCGTGGGCTAAGAACCCAGAAACCCAGGAGGGCAGGCGCTGGTCCTTGAGCAACAACAGACTGAGCCAAATCCGTTCCTTTAACCGAGATGCAAACTCACTAGAACACATCACAAATGGACCTGACGCTTCTCTAAAGTGCATCTTCAGTTCATGGATATTAAATTAATCCTCTGCCCTCTTTGCAAATGCTGGAATGGCAAGCTTCTGAACACTGGGTTTCTTCCCAACCAAGTATAAATCAAATTAAAAGGTCATTATTATAAGAAATTTCTGCAACAGGGCTCATTCTGTCAAGCATTTCACTAATTTACTCTTCTGGTCTTTGCCCGGCGAATACAGTTTGACAGGAGAGTCCATTTCCCCGGCAGATCTTCACTTAAGTAAATAAATAAAGAGACCCAAGTTTGCTGTTCCAGGAACAATCTGAAGCCGCTGCAAATTTCTCCTGCCATAGCAGAGGGGTGTGGCCATTAAGTTTTCAACCGTGGTCTGCAAGGATTCCAGAACTCTTGACATTCTTCTCAATACTAAGCCAAACCTCAGTTGGGGTTTCACCAACACACTGTCTTGCAAATAAATGCCCTGGGTAGATTCCCACTTAGCCCAAAGAGTGTGCTGGCTAGGCAGCGCCTCTGGACAACTGAGACAGAGGCTAGCTAGGCCCACCTTTCACCACGGCTACCCACCCCGTAGCTCTACCCCAATGACAGCTCTCTGCCCCTTTCTTCTGAACAAGAGGTTTTGTAGTTCAAAACCCACTAACCTGGTTCAGTCTCCCCTATTTTAGAGACACAGAAAGGTAGAAGTTCTATGGTGCCTAACCAAGGTTATCCAGCTAAGGAGATACAGGATAGAGCCAGCATTTCAACCTCAGTGAGGGTGACCAGCCAGACCAGAACACCCCACAAACCCAGGGCCCTTGGAAACCCTGAAGTCTAATGGGTCCTTCTTTTCTGAGCCATCATCTCCCTTCCAGAAAAAAACAGTGCAATACCTTTCTGGCTGACAAGATAATGAAATGCCTTCCAGAGAGCACAGAATTTCCAGGGCTGGCGCAAAGCACAGTAAGACTCAGCTCCTCTCCAAAGCCACAGCTAAATGGTTTTCTGGATTTGGTGCCCAAATAACTAGAAATTCCTTCCTGGCTTTTGGCCTATCTTCTGCCCCAACGGTCCCAACTTAAAAGATCCTCTCCCCCAGCTCTAGCAGGTCTTTCACTGTTCTTAGTGAATGGGTTTGTGCAAGACTCCCTCACTGCCTTTCCATTTTGATGAAGACTTTCGGCCGGCCGTGCATTTTTTTCCCCTTAGTCATTCATAATTGGCATCAATATAGACAGACAACTCTGGAAGGAGTGGCATTTACAAACGCCGGTCTTAATGGCATCTCTCTTTTCCAGGTCATTATCCCCAGCTTCCAATGGGACCGAGCAGAGGTCTGCTCCATGTAGCTTTGGCCCAGAGATTACCCTGGAACCTGAGGCGTTTTCATTACGCTGGAAGCATCCACTACTTTCTGATGCATGCCAGGATTTTCTCAGCCATCTCAGCTGGCTTTGAATGTCACACTCAATCCAGTAATATGTGGGAGAAAGAAAGAGCCTTCCTCCATAGCAAGCAGGTTTACTTCTGAACTTAAGAATAAAGCAAAATCAACGATTCAAAGCTTCCCAGCACCTAACCTAGGAGTGAAACAATCCAATACTTTTCTATCCTTTTTCTTTTTTATATTTATTTATTTATGCATACAAAACTGGGGTACAGGCTAGAGGTGCAAGAGCGGTGAGAGGATTCCCCAGAGACAGAGCGGGGAGCAGAACAGGCAGATCGACAAAGTACACAGCTGAGGGGAGCAGCGGGCGGGTCGGGAGAGGTCTGCCGCGCCATGCGGTCACCTCTGGGGCTGGGATCGAACTCACGCTGAAGTGGCTGCAGCCAGCTTGCAGTGCTGGGCTTTAACCCGCTGTGCCACTGGGGAGGGCCCTTTTCTATCCTTTTTCACTGATGTTCCCATTTTCAATGGATTCCATGAAACGTAGGTGGAGAATGCAGATTTCTTTTAAAAAGATTAATCCTATTTTTCTAGGAGCTTCAAGGTTGCTCAACTGTTGGGGATGACGTTTGTTTGTTTCCATCCTGCCCAGCTCTGTTTACTTCTTTGCTAGTGTGCAGTTCAACTGTAAAACATGTTTGCTATGAAAAAAACAAAACTTGGCTTCCTGGGTTCTTTAAGGCATTTTAGATCTTTAGATTTTTTTTCAGGCATAATACTTATATTTCAGTAAACTTATCTTCAATAGCTCCGTCATTAGCCAAAGTAACAGTTAATCCCTGGTGTTGTTCCCAGTGTGCTGAGTTCTAGTCTAGCTTTCACTTGGGCTAAACCATTCATTTCTCACAGTGGTTTCTGGTGTGAGTAACATCATCCCCCCACACACAGATGAGGAAACTGAGGCACAGTAACCTGCAGGGGCCCCCCAGAAAGCGAAGGGACCCAAGTCTCGACAGCCTCACTCCAGAGCACAGCGGGGCCTGACCCTGACGCAGCACGACCACCTTCTTCCTGACATGTTCCCATCTCCACACTCACAAGGCCCAACATGGGGCCTCCAGGACAGCGATAACCGTCCCGCCAGGGGAGAAGGCTGAGAGCACGCTCAGAGCCCACTTGCAGGGAGACCAAAGCCTCGCACGCCAGCCAGGCTGCAAGCCCTGCTCACACTTACGGCTCACACTTACGCTAGGTCGCCCTGTGTGGCTTCCGACTTCAGGAAAAACCATTACTTCAAAGATGGGGGCAGCAGATGGCAGAGGCTGGTTGCTTCAGCATCGCACAGTGTATTATTTATAGATGCTATGATGTCATATCTATCGGAGACCTTCTCCAGACACCGACTCCTCGGAAACCCATCCTCAAAGGGCGTCTGCACCACTCGTCAGAACTGACTGCCTGCAGCTCAGTGGCTGCTCCTCCCAGGGCCTGTGCATCCTCCACCGAGGCCGTTTCCCGGGCACACGGGATTCTGTAGTGACCCTTAAGAGTATGCGGCTGTATGCACCACTGACAAAGCTATATAATTGGTGGGGGGAGGGTAAGGAAAACATTTTAATGATATATACTTTTCATTTTGGAATTGTTAGGAATCCTCTTATTATTATATATATTTTTAAAGATTATTTATGCATACAGAACTGGGGCACAGGCCAGAGGTGCAGGGGTGGGGAGAGGATTCACCAGAGACAGAGCGGGGAGCAGAACAGGCAGATCGACGAAGTACACTGCTGAGGGGAGCAG